GGGGCTGCGGGCCCTGAGTCGCAGCCTGGCGAGAAGCGTGCTCCCAGGCTGCCCTGAAGCGCTTCCCTGGCGCAGGTCTTGTTCCCCCCCTTTTCCTGAAAACCTCATTTCTGTGGCCCACCTTTCTCTTCGCTCGGACTTATCCCAAGTGGAGGGGGGTCGGGCGAGAGCGCCCCGGGCCGCCCCGCCCGGGCGATGCGTGCTGGCGGAACCAACTCTCTTTGTTCGAAGGGCTCTCTTCTCCTTCTAGAAAGGGCCGCTCGAACAGAAGCCACCATAGCTGTTAACAGAGGAACAGTACCTGCCCTGTGCTCAGAAATGTCCCCGAGACGTTTGCAGTAAATGAAAGTTAATAACGGACATTACACGTTTCTCTAAATTGTTCTCATTATGTCAGCTGCATGAGAGGGATCTGCTCAGATGGGAGATAATATTGTTATTTTGCAAACCTCAGTGTTTCTTCCAAACAGATGGTGGCCAACAGAACAGGGGAGTAAAATAATTTTTTTTTTCTTAACGCATTTGTTGTATTAGGAAGTGAATGACAGACGTGCCTTTTCAAACCATTTATCTTTTCTTTTTCCTTATGAAAATTAAATAAGAATAGTAGAAGGGGACAGGGGGAGTCATTCACATCCATACTTTTAATACAAAGAAGACAGAGGAATAAAGTTTCAATTTTTTAAAAACTAAATAGCAAAAAAGTTGGTATTTGTCCATTTTTATCTGTTACTAGATTATACTTGGCTAGGTTTGAATGAGGGCCATTCAGAAAAATTAAATGTGATTTAATATGTATATAAAGTATATGTAATAGGCATCCATTCATGTAAAGATAAAACAGCCTTACCAAGTTTTAAACACTCTTTAATAGATTTATGGTGATTTTTGTACAGTTTTCTAGGTTTTTACTTTGGACTTGTTCCACAATATACTTAATACACTTGTTTTCTCCTGACTTAATATATTTTTTGTTATAGCTGTTGCTCTTATTTTTCACTAAGTCATATAGCAGATTTTAAGGAAAATAGATATTTTTCTTGACATTTGTATGCAAATAATGTTTGTGCCTATGTATAAAATTTTGCCAGTCTGTGTATACACATAGAATATTAAAATCCTGTACCATAGCAGGGTTTGACTTGGAAATGTCAAGGTTATAATGCAGTAAACACCAGTTCTAAATGATTAATTTAGTTTTCAGAGATAGGATGTGGGATTGTGATTATTTATTTTACTCTTGGTTGTATTTACATTTTTTATGCATAACTTTTAGAAATATGCATTTCCTTGCCAAATAGTTCTGGATGTTTGACCAGAATTTCAAATTATTACCTTGGAAAAAAATGAAGTATTTAATCTAATGCCCTTCTTGTGAAACAGTAAAAACATGCTTCCTATTGACTCTCTGAAAATATATTTTAATAATATTATGATAAGTTCAGAAAATAGTATTTCATTGACAAATGCACAGGTAGCAAAGGTATTCCAAGCAAAAAGATGCTACAATAGATGTCTGCCACTTGTTAAAATTATTTTCTGCTCCTATTTTTTCTTTAGGTATTTAATGATTTAAGGCTTAGATTTTTTTAAAAATAAATTCTTTCTATTACTTCAATTAAAAAGGAAATTTGCTTTTTACATTAGAGTCAACATCAGACAAAAATTAATGTCATCCCAGTCTTAGCTTTAAAAACATTTCTGTAAGCAATCCAAACTTCTGATGTGTTCTAGAGCATGAATTTTGTTACCTTCATGGAACAGTGGGAAACTCACTTTTCAGTCCGGTTCCTAGCTGAAAAACATAATTCAGTAAATTGAATTAGTGAATTACAGGTCTCATGGATATTGACTACTGAACAACAAATATTAATATGCTCTTTTAAATTTATTTCATGCCGAGGAATAAGAGGAAGGTGACGTGGTAGCTTTCAGTCGTTCCAGAATATTTGTGTTACCTAAGTTAAGTAAAAGTTTTCACTGAGATTGGGACTTTTGCTAGTCTTTGTACAGAAGCCCATAGTTGAAAAAATAAAGCCAACAGTTCTTGTTTCAAGAATGATATATAGTGTAATATTAAAAGAGTATTATCCTAACTTTTTTTATAAAGCGATATGGTGAAATAAAGTTGCATGTATCATTGTGTGGAATTGTAACCTGTTTTCTCTCTAATTCTGTATTGCAAATGTTCACCATACACACAAAATATTTTTACTTAGTCAAGCATGAGTTTGTAGAGCAGAGTGAAGCTGTGTTCTCTTCTGTATGCATCATCTTGTATAAAAAAAAAAAAAAAGGGCATTCAAGTTAAGAGACTTACTGTAATATTTGTAATCCTATTGCCTTTGCTGGGCATGTTTATTTCTAATGGATATGAACTTCTAGTTCTGTTGATGATCAACAGTAAACAATATATAGGCGTATGTATGTGTACATGCATACACGCACTTTATAAAGCATATAAACTCCCCTTTTTCTAATCCAGCATTATGGTCTTTCCAAATAAAAATATAAATTATCCTTCACCTTTGACAAACATGACTGACTTGGAAGCCTTCTACTTTTTCCCTTAATCTGCTGAAGTATAATCCATAAAATCTGATTGTATTAAATACTCAAATTTTTTAATAACAAAACTACTTTTCAATAAAAAAAAGGAAATAAATCTCATTCTGGTATCTGTGAATTAACTTGGTCAAGGACATGGATGATTTTGGAGCATTGCTCTTGATAATTTAATTTCTTTTTGAAATATTTTTCCCCATTCTTGGAAGATGCAGCATTACATGTTAGCTTTGGATTTTTTTTTTTCTTCATAATCCTCTTATATTTTGCTCTGTCAGCAATCAGAGGTTTGTAGAAGTGGTGAATTTGATCAGGTGATCATTTCAACCTTATAGGAAATTCCTTTGATAACACTGTTCCACTATAATTCATTGTGCAGCACCCTACTGCTGACTTGAATGAAAAAAAAAAAAAAAGAGAAGGTTTATGACTTACTGGGGAGTGAGGATGATATATCTGGCACCTATAGGCTCTTTAATGATTATAGAATAAAGTATAGGGCTATGCTATGGTTGTCTAAACTAGTATTATAAGAGAGAAGAGTTCCTTTTTGTCCATTTTCTGCATTTCTGCAGTCTCCTGTCATTAACGTGTCCCTTGGTTTTATAGGGTGCAACAGAGAATTTATTTAGAAAACTAACAGGAAGTCTCAATTGTTGAATATAATTACTTACAGATTACATTAAATAGAAAGCATATTAATGTTAGATAAGTTCACTTGTAAGCATGCAGAATGTGGAGGGGGAGAAAGAGAAACCACCTCAGCTTTTTAATGTATTAAATAAAATGTAGGTTCTTTAAGATGACTCTTCAGTATTCTTAGCGAGCTTCCTGAACCCAGTGACTTTTACCAGCAATTCATATCTTAAGACTGTGGTTTTAAAGTAGTAGTTTCTTTTAGGGTCCTTTATTTTGTATACTGAATTGATTGGGAGGACTTTTATGAATGTTGAGTTAAATCACACTATGCTCTTTGGTAGTTTGTCACTTCATGTTTTATCTTCATTCATCAAAGCCCTTCAGTTTCTTCAGTCACTGCTAATCAGGCATCCCTTTAAGAAGGATGGATTTCATACCTGTCATGTTCCTGAAAGCCTACTTCTCCGTGAGGAAGTGTCTATCTTGTGTATTAGGGGCTTTCACACTTTATGCAGATAGCAGTAAATGCTACTTTATTATTATTGTTATTTTCCAGAGAGGCCTGTGTGAACTGTGAGTAGTCCACTTTCAGATTCAGCGTTGAGGGCATTGGAAACTCTTGGCACTGGAAGAAGTTGTTCCCATATGGTCATCATCCTGATTTTAGCTACTTATCAGTGAGGCTTCATTGGCACTGAAAGCAATATTTCTTTTTATTGAAAAACCATTAACATGAATCATCTTTCAGTGGGTCAGAGATGCTTGTTACTGGTGGCTGTTTGTATTTACCTATTTTCTTACAAGAAAATTTTAAATTTCACTTGATTGTACAACTATATACTGTTCTGCTCTCTGGAAGGCTTTCCATTGAAACTTTAATCTAAAAATTGAAAGTACCTATTTGATGAATAACATCAGTAAACAAGTATAAGTTATGTGGAGGTGGGTTTTGTTTTTATCCACTCATTTTACTCTTAAATAATTTGTATTTGATTGTCAAATCTTAAAGAGACTAGCTGAGTTTATGTTTTATCATGCTGCAACTCTCTGCTGTATTGGTTTAAAATTGGTATCAAAAACTTGCCCAAGAAACTTTGACTTAATGAGATTTTTTTTTAACCCTTTCCTTGTAAGACTTGTCTCTTAAAGACTGCTGTAGGTGGCTTTCAGTGCTCAAAGACCCCTTTTATTCCATTTCATTACTATTGCCAAGCATTTTGGTCACCTCTTCTTCTCTGTCCCATAAACAGAGCTTTAGCCTTGAGAAGGATATTTGGAGAATTTGCACTTTTTTTTTTTTTACCAACTGCTCAGAAATGAAAGTAAGGGGTGATTGTAAAATCCTTTCAGAAAATAGGATTTCTACGTTGTTGGGTTTTTTAATTTACTTGTATGTATGGTATTTTCCCTTTTGCTTACATCTTGAGGAAAATAGGATGACTGAATTGCAGGTTTCCAATTTTACCAAATGAGATCTGGTTTCTTCCTGAAGCTAAAGACTTAAATATCGTAAAGAAAAGTTAAAGGTATATTTGAAAATGACTTGGAAAATTATGGTTGGATAGGGTGAAACAGTCAACAAGACCAGAAAATAATATTACAGTCGCAGCCTGTGTAAGAGAATTAGCTTATGTACTAAGAGTTGTTACTACATCGGGGCCTTGGTGTGGATTTGCCAGTTCTGTGTAGAAGAGGGTGGCTTTAGTGGGGCTTTGTTGTCAGCTTCAGTGATACTTTATCATCAAAGTCTGAGGAAAAACTCCTGAAGTTTTGAATATCTGTGTATTGTCCTGATTTGGCTAGAGATCTGAATTTCCATGTTGAGAATGGAGAATTGCTGTCATTGTTTAACAAGTGCTCCTCAGTTTGCCATTTGCAAAACTTTCAGTGCTTATCGAGTTTTCTCGAGGGAATACACAGAGGCCATTAAGGAGGTAGGAGGGAGGCATCCTGCAAGCCCGTGTGTGCAAAAGATCTCTGAGAAACCACACTTGCGTGGTGATGCCAGGAGCATGAGAGGGTATGCTGTGTTCCCTGCTTTGTAGAATATTCTCTGAAACTTTTGTCTCTTTGCTGTGGTTTTTTTTTTTTTTTAATCAGCCTAAAGTTACTTACACTTAAACTTACAAAATGTGTTGTCCAAGAAAGTATTAATTTGTTACCTTTCTGTTGGCTGTTTAAATAGACTTTTGTGTGAAGATGAAATATGGCTTCTTTTTCTCACAGTTCTGAACAAGACCAAGACCAGTCTTTATAGATTACTTTCATTTTGCAGTACAGTTGAAATCTGAAGCTGTGTGACAGGTCTTTTGCCTTGGGTATGTACTCCAGTATGCCAACTACTCATACAGCTTAGAATTGTTTTTCGGCACACTAGGAGACCAGTGACATCTGTAATCAGATTCTTAGTCCCAGTCATGCTTTTGCATTATGTTTGTCACCCAGTTGAAGTCTGTTTCAGAGAAGCCTTCAAAATTACATTTGTAACGATAAGCCTTCAAATGTGGCTGTAAGAGGATTTTTGAACAGTTAAATATTGAAAAGCTTTATTGAGCAACAATTGAATTTTTGCAGAATGAATTGTTTGAAAGCAGGGAGGCACAAACTGTCTGCATTAGGTGTTGAAAGCTCTGCTATAATACTGTTTGCTTCTGCATGTTCTGGAGCGGTCTTGGAGGCTACTACAGACGAGTGTTTCTTAGATGTCGTTATATCCTGTAGTGACTGCAGTATAGATAAGGCCTTTGATATAAAACACACAGAGCCTTATTTAAATGTGATCTGCACAATTATTCCAGAACATCTTATTTTGATAGGTTATTCATTTCTGTTGTTGTCTTCACCACCACCCTGAGAAAATTTGGACCCTTAGAGGGATGTTTTGTAGCCTTTTATTTGATTTTTTTCACTGTAGCTTTCTGAATAGGTCATTCTTATGTTTTTTGGTTGGTGGTTGTTCTGTTGGGAGATGGATGTTACTGTCTTCCTACAAAAGAAAACAAAAATGGCAGAAACATCTGAATACTATTCAGATCTTTTTCCTTTTTGAGTTTTCTTGCTTTCCTAAAGAAACTGGATTATAGTAACCTTAAATCAGAGATGTAGGACTTGCTTTTTTGCATCAGTGCTTTGTAACCCTAGGAAGAAGACTATGACTCTACCTCAATTCAGCCTCAGAAAAGGTTGGCAGAAAAAATGGAACAAAAGGAATTAAAACAGAATAGGAGTTTTCTGTTTTAAGAAAGACTTCTTACAAAGCCTACTGGGGAAGTTTAGGAGGCCTGCTTTGTAAAAGGAGAGGACCCAATCACTGTGAAACCTTTTAAAATCTTAGATCTTTTGGATATTAATCATCTCCCTCAATGTAGATGCAGCATTGATGTGTTTTCAGCAGAGGTGGTCTCCTTATAAGAGAATTTCTCCTCTTCATCACTTCTCCAGTGAATTGCATGATTAGCTTAACCTTCAGAAAACACTTTGTACCAAGACTTCTTTTTAGAGCTTTGTTGCAGCAGTGTTCCGATGTTAATATTTTTTACCATACTTTCCAGATAGCTTTTGTGATTGAAATCCAGGAAATACGGGGGGGGCTTGTCGTAGCTGGCTCTATAGATGTTGAAATTTATAAGGATTATTTATGGAGCCTGGAACTGCCTGGAACAGAATTATGTTTTTGAGTTAGCAATGAAAACAAAAAAGGAAAAAGCCAAGAGATGTTAGAAGTCTGGACCACAGAATCTTCAGTGGAGGCTTCAGCCATTTGGGTTGTAACACTGGCATGTGTATTTAAACAAACCCCAAACAACAACAAAAAACCCAAACCACCCTCCCCCCCAAACCCAGGCACACAGACCCCCTTCCACTCGCCCCAACCAAAACAAAAAAAACCAAACCCCAACCTGTGGCTATTAAAAAAAAATCTTTGCAGTGAGCAAAGTCTGGCTCTTCAGAATATATAAGATTACAAGTCATATGCAAACATTTCTGCTGAGTACTGAGAAAGTCATAGCTCTTTGTCAGCTCTGATGGAAAGTGTTCTGAACCAAGACTTTACAGGTGGCTCAAAAGCCATTTTATACATTTATTTCCTTCCTGAACGTGAAAACTTGAAACTGTGAAAACATTGTCTGCTACAGACAAACTAAATGGACAGAAGAAATTGAGTCATCTTGCAATGTTTTTCTAAATTGTATAAGGTTGACTTTCATATTTATGTTTCTTCCACTCCCTGTTTGTTTTTGCTTCCTCAATGTCTCTGTTTTCACAGAATTTTCCATCATAAATGTTTCTGATTGCTGTTCTGAAGTTGGCCAGCTCTCTAGATATTTTACCTACATGTTACCTTTCTGGTAACCAGAAACGTACCAATCTGCCTGCCTCAGACTAAGTTCTTGGTTCATTTATGCAATTAATATGATGAAATAATGTGTCTAAAACTTCTGCGTTTGTATTTAAATACTAAAGCCTAATTAATTCCTTACAACAACTTTGGGAGTACCTGCTTGGAATTTGAGGGACTACAGGATGGATTGGGCTAAATTTGAACTGCTTCTGGTACTTCCAGAAAGTTGACAAGTGTTTCTGTTTCAGTTGAGAGAGGGTCAGGATTAAACAGTTCATGCAGTGTATTTTCCATTATTTACTACTTTGCTAGAAGACAGATGTTTTTTCCAAATGGAACTTGCTGATGTTCCAGCAATATCCTATTGTATTCTGTCTCTGAAGGCTTTACCTGTACTTACTTCATATGAAGAAATAAATTGCTTGTATTCCCTAGTCAAGGTTTATACTCTTTATACATTTTTTAAAGCAAACTTTGGTTTTGATCAAGATTACAAAGTTTATGTATTGTGCTTTCTGACGTCTCTGTTGGTGTACTTTCTAACGTCTCTGTTGGTGTACTTTCTAACGTCTCTGTTGGTGTACTTTCTAATGGAAAAGGAAATTACCCAACATGCATATTTTTAATTTTCTTCCTTATTCTAGCCTAATAGTGAATTCCTCCTACCTCCTCCAGTGTTATTCTGTACTGCACTATGCCAAACTAAGGCAGATGATAAAAAGGATTTTTGTTACATTAGTGAACTAAGACCTAACATTTGAAAGAACTCTCGTGAACTGCTTTTATCTCAATATGAATTAACAAAACTTCTTTCGTGAAGGCCTAAGAAAGAGTATCGGTTAATATGGGCTAATATCTGAAGGACCCACTAAAAAATGATTGGGCTTATTGTTTGACTTTCTTAAACAAGGATTATTTGAAGGATAAAAGATAAACTGTAAATTATTTCCTCGACAAATGTGTTGAGTAAATGTGCTACTTATAATAGTAATTTGGAATGTACTGGTGAATGTTGTTTAGCAAGATTTGTAAAGAAAATCAGCCTTGTTAATTTGGGATTTTGGCTTCTGTAAGTTTCCATTAAAAAGGAGGAGGGGCTATGCTATGCTTTTTTTAGTGACATAGTAAGTAGGCAAATTAGTAAATTTCTATATTCTTGTCTTTTGGGTAACTTTTCCAGGAAGTCTAAAACTTTTTTTTTTTAAATTAAGAAATAATAGTTGAAAATACATGCATACATTTAATATGGCTAATTGTTTTTTTTTCCTTTTATCTTGCAGCAACGCACCTCTTGCTTTTTCCTCCAAAGTATGTTATATTAAGTTTCGTGAAGCATCAAGTGTTGGTGTGGCCCAGCATCTAACTAACACGGTTTTTATTGACAGAGCTTTGATAGTTGTGCCCTGCGCAGAAGGTTGGTATTTTAGACATTCTTCTGTAATGTTGGTCTTTGTCGTGTCTGCTAATTGTTTTAAGCTTTCCATGTAAAGAGGTGGTGCTCTGTTGTTATTTTATTTTATTTTATTTTATTTTATTGCTTTTTGAAAAAAAATCTTGAAACAAAATTGAAAATTGAATGAAGAAACCCAATTATATAAATTTAATTGAAATTCAGCATTAGAAAAAATTAGTTGATTTAAATTAGGATAATTCAATTTTCCATAGTTATTACATATTTTTGGGGAAAAGAAGGTAAAATAATTCCCTTCAATATGGTTTGTGTTGGCAAGTTTATTCCCACATAAAGTTCTCACTGAAGTCAATGGAGCACTGAAAAGATTAGGCAGATCCTGGCACTGATAACATTGCAGTTTGGATCTTAATGTATCGCCCTTGGTGTGGTGGGGTTTTTTTGTTTGTGTGTTTGTTTTTTTTTTTTTTTTTAAGATACTAATTATTTTTCCATTTTTTTTTTTTTTAGACTGAATGCCAATTTTGTCTTGTAGACACGTGATATATGCATTTGACCATTTTAGATTCATCTAATCTAAAATATTTTGCATTTGTGGTGATAATTACTGTTTGAATATAAATTACCTGCTAGTTTAATAAAAAAAAAATCAGTTTTCCTTTCTTGTTCCTGTGGAAAATATTAATTTGTGTTCAATAAAAAGGCTTTCTTATGCATACTGGTACTCCTTTTTGATTTTAGATATCTCTTTAAAAATGCAATCAGCTGTACAGAATACTTCTAGTGTAAAATATTTTTATAACTCTTAGTATTCACCAAGCATTTTATTTTATTAAATTTACAAGTGTTCCTTTAACTAGCTTTGAGGTCATGCTTTTACAGATGTGTTGAATACAAGGTAGTTTTATTATTAGTATACTATCCCAGATCTGAATGCAGTTCTATGAAGCATGGCTTTACTGTAGGCAGATCGCTGGAGTTAGGCAGAGCCCCATTGACTTCATAGGGATCATTGTGGGAATTGAGCATCTGCCTATTTGGATCTGGACTTTTTGCCTTTTTGGAGTGAAAGCATTCCAGTTGTTGGAGTGAAGCTAACTTCACTTTGAACGTGGTAGCTGTTTTGCCATGAACAACGATATTTAGAATGATTGAGCCATAAGTTGCAGCAAGTCCAGAAATATCTCCTATTAACAGGACTTTTCTAACTGCAAGAGTCAGGTTTTGGTTCAAAAAATACTGTTGACTTCTTGGAGTTTGTTAACAGTGGTTCCAGAGTACCATTTTTTGGCATGTTGGCCACATCGTGATCTGGATAGTATGAGATTAGTGCTGCTGTAATAATGGTCTGGGGTGTTCCTAGCAAACTCTGACAAGTCTCCAAAATTTCATAGACTCTGAAATGACCTACAATACACTGTCTAGTCTCGTAGCCTTGTTAATATGGGCATATTAACAAGTCTTTGTGAAGCCTAGATTTTTAGTTGCTTTTATGCTTTGTTTTGGGGGCTTTTTGGTTTTATTTTTGGAACTTGTTCTTAAACCACAAAGAGTATCCACTTGAAGCTTTGTAGAGGCTTTGGGTGGGCAAAATGTATCAGACCAGAGTCGTCATTATTAAAAAATTGCCCTTAAATAATTGACTACAAATTCTTCAGCATCTTAGTTTTACGTTTCATTGAAAAGACCTTAACACTGGTTCAGTACTGCCAGAGAGGAAAGATTGCTGCCTAATGAATGAACAACACTTCCTGGTGTTTTTCTTGTGATGAGATCACTGCCTGACGTGATATGGCAACAGGCAGGTAAAGCTACATTTTCCTGTGTCTCTTGATGGTAGACAATGAGTGGAAGGAGAATAAAATCAAAATTCTGAGAAATCTTGTTCCAACCTCATCTGTAGCTGACTTATTAGGCATTTCTGAGAAAATGTATTACAGAAAAATTGTCACTGTTCCAGATCATTCTGGACCCCACAGAGATTTATGCATAATTAGGTGAACAAGTGATTGGGTTGTGAGGTCAAATTTTTTTTTAAGTCAGAATGCTGTTTCTCTGTAACTTTCTAACAGAATCACTAATTTTAATTTGTAAAGATGTGAATTCATATAGGTTTAACTTTCTGAGGAATTTATTCTGTGGAATAAGCATAGCTTTGGAGACCACAGTGCAACATTTTTGATTCACTATGTACCATTGTTAATGGAGTCAGTGGAGTATATCACAGGCTTTAAAAGTAGCAATTGCTGTATTCTACTGGAAGGTTAAATTATATCCATGGCCAACAGTGCCCGTAGTAAAACATTTCATGCGCCGAATTGAACATAGAGGAGAGGTAAAATGGAACCCTGAAAACTTGGTTTTAAAAACCAAAATAAAATCTGAAATTTGGAGTGTATTTAAACAGTGGTAAATCAAGGGAGTATGAGGAGGGAATTACTACGCAATGAAAATAATGTTAATTTTGTGACATTTAATAAACAATTTAACAAAAATGTAATTGTAAATGAAATAACATCGAGTTGTCAAAATATGACTTTCTTTTGTGTGTATCAGTAGGTTTTTCTTTAAACATTATACTTTGAGAATGCAAAGGTTGAAAGATAAACAAAGATGCCACCCTAATCATTCTAAATTTTATGTCCACATTGTCTAGTAGATGGATTTTGACTATTAATTTGGTTTTGTATGTTTTCTCTGTGTGATATTTGTGCATTATTAGATGACTAGACTGGCCAAGGCAGACCTGTTACACTTGCCTGAGTTAGGCATTGTTTGCCATGCCACTAAACCAGCCGCCAAGTGAAACCTTCATGGGGGAAATGAGATCGAAGTCTGGCCTGCTGAAGATGGACGCCCTGTCTCTGTTTTTATTTTATTTTGCTTTCTTTCCTTTGTTTCTTTTATTTTATTTTTCCCTTTTTTTGTTTTGTTCTGTTAAATCTCT